GAAAGCTTGAGTAAAGGTGAAGCAAAGCTAGAAGAAAGAGCAAAGAAGACAGCAGAACCGCTGCACGGCCGCTGGCAGCTGGCCAGAGCCGCTGGCAGCGGGTCAGCCAGAGAGGACGAAGTGTTTTGCTGCTTTAGCCGCTGCAGCGGGTCCGAGCAGCTGGCAGCGGATCTTCCAGATTTCGGGGCCTGTTTTGGTTATTTTTCAGTAGTTTGCTTTGTCTTGGCTCGTGTTTTGTATTTATTTATTATTTTTATTAATATTTTTATGTTATCTTAAGTATGGAAACATATATATAGTCTATTTTTATGAAGAGTTAGAAGAAGTAAATTAGTGAGAATTAAGTTAGAGAGAAGTAAAAGTTTTTCTAGGGTTCTTGGCAAATTTCAGAAATCTTTGTTTTTGAATTAGAATCCATGGAAGCTTAATCTTCCGGATTCTTGGTTAAAGATTGAAGCTTTTGGCTACGAATTGTGAGATTTCTCTTCTCTTTATTATCTATTGAATGTTTATTATTCCTTGAATTATTTCATGATTTGCTTTAATCAATTGCTAGGTTAGAATTGTTAGATTCGCTTGCATCTAATTAATCTTTCCAAAGTAGCAACTTTGGGTTATGAATGCATGCTTTTGATTGATAACTTAAAGAGGGAATAATATTATTGAAGAAATTAGACCGCTTGTGTTAATTTATTCAATCCTTGTTGATTTCTCCGTTTATGTTCTTCTTGTGGATGATTTAGAGCTCTTGTCTTAAATTATACATTAGAAAGGGTTAGAAAGGAGCGCTTTGCTATTTCTAACTAGCTTATGAGAATTTAGAATTTAGAATTCTACAACAAGGTGTTCAATAGTGTTTGATTGAAGAGGCTTCTATGATCAATTTGTATGTTCAATTTGTGGATTTCGCATAACCAAGACCGTTATTCTCATTGATTGCATACTATTTACGTTCATTGTTCTGATTTAGTTTAATTGTCACCATTGCTTGTCAAAACCCCCTTGTTACTTAGATTACTACGTTCCTAGAGTAATTCCACTGAGGTTTGCAGTTATTAGTCCCTTTTTCCCTGTGGATTCGAACTCGACTCCCTAACTACGTTTATTTGCAGTTAGCTTAGTTGTGATATTTTTGGTTGCATACGACTGAGGCACACCAAATTTTGGCGCCGTTGCCGGGGAACTAGGCGTTACTTTATAATTGTTTATCTTAGTAGAATTTATTTTAGGATTGTTCTTAGTTACTCTCTTTGTTTGTTCTCTAGGGTATGATAAGTACCCGTTTCTGCTAACAAAGAAGTTTTGCAGTTTGATCCAGAAATTGAAAGAAATATTTCCAGGTTGCGAAAAGAGGCAAGAACAGCCCCAGTGAATCAACATACATTTTCAGCATTCAAGAAGAGGAGGTGATGGCAGAAAATCGAACACTGAGAGAACTTACAGCCCCTAACTTGAACCAACAGCCGTTGTGCATTGCATATCAGCAATTGGAGGAAGGTACTAATGTTGAGATCAAATCTGGTCTAATACATCTATTGCCGGCATTCCATGGCATGAAGGGTGAAGATCCGAATAAACATCTGGCAGAATTTCATGTGGTATGCACCAGCATGAAACCGATTGGGATGACTGACGAGCAAATTCAGTTGAGAGCATTTCCTTTCTCTCTCAAGGATGCAGCGAAGGATTGGTTTTACTATCTTCCCCCAGGTAGCATAACAAATTGGGCAGATTTGAAGAAGTGTTTCCTTGAGAAGTACTACCCAGCCACTATTTCTGCAAGCTTTAAGAAAGCTATCAGCAATGTGGATCAGAAGGAAGATGAATCCTTGTATGAGTATTGGGAGAGATTTAAGAGATTGTGTGCTAGTTGTCCTTACCATGGGTATTCCGATCAAGACCTCATCCTATACTTCTATGGAGGTCTAACTGATGATGACTTGAGGATGGTGAATGCAGCAAGTGGAGGAGGGCTAGTGAATAAGACTCCAGGAGATGCAACTAGGCTGATTGCAGAGCTAGCAGAAAATTCTAGGCAATTCAGTCAGAGAACTCCCACGCGCCGGGTGAATGCAGCAAATTCAAATACGTCTGAGTTAGAAAGTCAAGTAGCTGATTTGACTTCTATGATGCGTGAGTTCATGGTGAATCAAGGAATCCGCAGCAACTGAATGCTTGTGGTATATGCACCTCCATGGGACATCCCACTGATGCATGTCCTCAATTACAAGAGGAGCAGAATGAGCAAGCAAATGCAATGGGTTTCCAAGGGCAAGGTCCTCAGAGAAGATATAATCCCTATTCAAATACATACAATCCAGGATGGAGGGATCATCCAAATTTGAGATATGGGAACTCCCAAGGGAACCAACAACAACAAAATGCTCAAGGCCAGCAACAGTATCAGCAATATAGGGCACCATTACCCAAACCTCAAGGCCAAAGCTCAAATTCGAATAATATGTCAACTGAAGAAATGATTAGATCATTAACTTCTAATGTTTCTACTATGCAGCAAAATATGGTGCAATTTCAGCAAGAAAACCAGATCAAGTATTCAAAACCTAGAGAATCAATTTAGTCAAATCTCTAGTGCAGTAAGCCGACTTGAAGCTAAGGACTCTGGAAAGCTTCCATCTCAAACGGAGCTGAATCCTAAGCAACAGGTCAATGCAATAACATTGAGAAATGGCAAAGAGTTGCAAGAAACTGCAGTTGCAACTAAGAGGGCTAAAGACTTGATTGGAACTGAAGAGCAAGAAGTAGAACATGAAGCTGTGGCGAATCCACCAACTTTTCCCTCTTATGAACCCACACCACCTTTCCCTGAAGCCTTACAAGATACTCGAAGGTATGAGAAAGACAAGGATATTTATGAGACTTTTAGCAAATGTGAGGTAAATATTCCCCTCTTGAATGTGATTAAAAGTATTCCTCGTTTTGCTAAGTTTATGAAAGAACTGTGTACTATCAAGAGAAAGCATAAGTTGGGAGGAAAAGAGAAGGTAAAGGTGAGTGCTCATGTTTCTGCGGTTTTCCAAAAGAAAATCCCAGAAAAATGTGGTGATCCTGGTATGTTTATTGTTCCTGTTATAATAGGAGACACCACATTGCACCGAGCTATGTTGGACCTAGGTGCATCAATCAATGTCATCCCCTACTCCCTGTTTAAATCTTTAAAACTTGGACCTTTACATGGAACTGGGGTAGTGATTCAGTTAGCGGATAGGTCTAATGTGTATCCTAAGGGGGTGGTGGAAGATGTGTTGGTTAAGGTTGATGGTTTGATTTTTCCTGCTGACTTTTATGTGCTTGACATGGAACATGACAAACAAGCAGTCCCCATCTTGTTAGGAAGACCTTTCTTGAAGACTGCTAAAACAAAAATCGATGTGTCTACCGGTTCCTTGACTATGGAGGTTGATGGGAAAGAAATTGGGTATAACATTTATGATTCCATAAAGTATCCTGTCAACACTCATTCTTTATGTTCTCTTAATGTTGTCGATCCAATGGTGCATGATGTTCCTAACAATGATCGTGGGGATGAGTTCCTCACACCTATAACTAATGTTGTATCTGGTGATTGCTTGGATTTCTCTATGCCTACTAATGTGCAGGTGAAGGTGGGGGAATTGAATGAACATTCCAAGCTTCCACCTATACCACCAGGTTCAACAATCGGTCCGTCTGCAATTCCGGGCAAGAAATTGTCCCATTTATACCACAAAGCAAAGAATAGGTTGTGGCATGACAAGATGATTGCTAGGAAGAAGGTTAAAGTCGGTGAAAAAGTCCTCCTATAAAAATCCCGACTCAAATTATGTCCTGATAAACTCCGCTCCCATTGGGAGAGTCCATTTCAAGTGGTGAAAGTCTACCCGCATGGAGCGGTAGAAATTCAGAGCCTAGAGACCGACAATGTCTTCAAGGTCAATGGACAAAGGCTCAAGCCCTACTTCGATGGTTTCAAATCCGAGAACATAGAGTGCATTGACCTCTATGAGCCTTCAACCGAGTAGCGAATTGGGATGAGTTGCGTCGAGCCAACGACGTAAAACAAAGGCGCTAATCGGGAGGCAACCCGATCGAAAACTCTTCCCCATTTCTTTTCGTAGTTTATTTTTTTTTTTTTTAATTTTTCTTGTGATGTGAAGAGTGTTTTTGTTGTTTCTATGTAGGTGGAGGCCTCGGGAGCATCTTTTATGCCCGAAACACAGCAAAAACAAGCTGAAACAGAGCCAAAGGGGACATTCCCTGCTGAAGCCGCTGGCAGCTGCTCTGCAGCCGCTACCAGCGGGTCTTCAGGCAGCCCAAAACCCCAGGCTCTGTCCCAGCCGCTGGTAGCTGCTGCAGAGCCGCTGCCAGCGGCACCCCCCTCAAAAAAAAAAAAAAAAAAAAAAAAAAAAAAAAAAAGGAATCAGTATCAGCCGCTGCCAGCGGGCCTCAAGCCGCTACCAGCGGCTCCACCAGCCTCCCCGATTTTTTTCCCCCTTATTTCCCCCTTTCCAACTCCTACCTTCATTACTCCTTTCGTAAACCCCAATTCCCACAAACCCTTACTCCTTTTCTCCTCCTTCTCTCTATTCTTTCATCCCCTTACTCCAATTGCACCGATCCCCTACCAATCTCCCTTTCCCAAGTCCTTGCCTTTCATCCACTCCTCAATTCCCATCACAATTACAACCTAGATTTTCCATTTTCTCTTGATTTCAAGTTTGACATTGAGTTGGTTTTGCAGTTGTGCAAGTTGAATTTCTCGTAATTAAAAGTGAAGGTAAAGGTACAAGCATACAATTAGAGTCATGGGTGGGGATAACAAGAGGTCTAAGGCATCATCTCCACCAAGACCCCCAAGGGGCAAGAAGCAAGGTGCTTCTTCTAGTCAAGGTGAGGCACCTTCATTGCCTCGAGGGGATGGATTCATGGGTATGCGGTTGAATTCCAAGGAGAAGGGGATATGGACTAAGCTTCAACAACCACGACGAACGGTGCAATGCACCAAGTTTTTTGACTTAGAAGCTTTGCAAGAGCTAGGCATGGAGGAAGTAGTGCGGCTCTTGCTACGGAAAGTGGGTCTGGAGAATTTCATGACCAAATGCGCCCCCACCTATGTCAGGTATACCTATGAATTCCTTTCAACTCTTACTAAAGGACGTGATCAAATATCCTTTAATTTGAATAATAGGAATTATGTTGTGTCTTATGATGATATGCGAATGGCATTTGGTTGGGATGCACCCCCATTGGTGAACCATTGGGGTGATTATAGCACGTACTCGTCCCGAACATTTTGGAGGGCTATAACTGGTTGTGAAGTTGACCCTCATGGTGATCATAGCTTCAAGATCACTCACCCATGCCTTAGACTCGTTCATAGGTTTATTTCGTCCACCATACTATGTCAAGGAGAAGCTACTAAGGTTCCCAAGGCTACATTATCTTATTTGTGGGCGATGACCCCTGAGGGTGTCGGCACCCCCAATTGGGTCGATATTTTTGTAGATAGCTGTGTGAAAGTGCGGTCAAATTCAAGTGGCCACATTAGCATGGGTGGTATGGTCTCCCTGCTCGCTTGTTATTTAAATGTTCCACCCCCCGCAGATCTTGTGCCAGTAGATTCGACGTACCTAACTTATAACATCATGACTCTGGTCAAGATTAGTTTGTTATCGCGTTCCCCCGTCGTCGGTAGTTATTTCTGGCGATATGGGCCACAGGGCCTGAACTATTTGAGAATTCCTCGTCCCGAGGGACGAGCTTTGCCTTATGGCCCTGCCATCACAGACTTTTTCCTTGCGCCCGACCCGGATGTTGCCCCCTATTTGGGAGATGCCGAAGTAATAATTGAGAACATGGGAGAGGAGAATCCCGATGTTCATATGGGCGGAGAGTTTGTTAATGAGGATGGGGGTGAGGATGCTGCTGGAGTGCAGCACGATGATTGGCCTCACTGGAGGGCTGATGTAGATGATAGACTAGAGGAGGTGTGCGATGGGATGCAAGAGCTGCTTGCATATCAGAGAAGCATGAGTCGGTTTTATACCGCTCAATATCCACAGTATGAGCCCCCAACTGAGGCGTTCATGGATCACCTGGCATCCCGTGCTTTGCGTCGTTCCGAGAGGCGTGCTTCTCGGGGTGCTGCCGGCTCTTCTGGCTCTGGAGGTCCCTCTCATTGAGATGGTAAAGATTTTCTTCCTTTTCCCTTACTTTTGTTTTCATTGTAGTTGTTCTTGCATCGAGGACAATGCCTCATTTAAGTAGGGGGGGAAGCTTTTCATTGCATATTTTTGAAATTTTGTATAGTTATCTTGATTTCATGTTTTGTATAACTATCTTAATTGTGGTTCGATGAAAAAAAAAAATGCAAAAAGAAAAAGAAAAAAGAAAAAAAATTGAAAAAAAAAGAAAGAAAAGGAAAAAGAAACCCGCTAAGCCGAAAACCTGAAAAGGCGGCTTAGGCAAAAATGGGGGCCCGGTTAGGTTGAAAACCCGAAAGGGCGACCTAAGCAAAAAAGTGGCTAATGAGTGGGTGAGAAAGTGAGATTTGGAAAAAGATGAGAGGCTAGGATGAAAACCCGAAAGGGCTCCTAGGCAAAATGAGAGAAGAGAGAGAAAAATTCGTGAATTTGCGCATCTATTTGCCGGAGTCGGTGTCATAAGGGGAGGAGAAATATGGAGGTGTCGGGTAGGTCTCATCTTGATGTTTTCGGGAGATAGTTGAAGTTCGGGAGAAGTGTTGATCATGCTTAGAAAGCTAGAGTTATTTTTCTTGACTTTTGAGTGTGGGAGTGTTTTTTTTTGTGGACTTTTGGTTTAGTTGAGTCTTGTTTGCCCAATTTTATCAAAAGTTTCGTGTGGTAGGATAGTTGAGAATATCTATGCTCTTGGCTATGTGCTTGTTGTTCTAGGTTGGTTTTGGGGGATGAGTTGAATGTAAAAAAAATGAAAAAGGGAGTTTGTGAAGTGAGAAGGCGGTTAGTTGGTGGTTTCTAGGATGTCTTCTTGAGTTTGAATGCGTAGAGCTTGTTCGGTTCCGCCATCTTCTGTTTTGAACCTTAATGGGGAGATGTGTTCTATTCTCTAAGTTTACTCGAGGGCGAGTAAAGGTTCAAGTATGGGGGAATTTAATAAGTCGTCTTATCAAGGGTTGAGAGAAGAGTTTTAGGGTGTGTTTTGATGTTGTGCATGAGTTTTTAATAGCTTTTGTGAGTTTCGGGCGGTGATCTCACTTGTGTGCAAAAGCCGGGATTTATAGGTGTTAGTGAGTGAGTTCGGGAACTAATGAGGAGGATTATAGAGTATGGACCTTAGCTCGTGATTTGAGAAGCGTGATGGAGCTTGGAAGAGCAAGGGAGAAAGCTTGAGTAAAGGTGAAGCAAAGCTAGAAGAAAGAGCAAAGAAGACAGCAGAAGACAGCAGAACCGCTGCCAGGGCCGCTGGCAGCTGGCCAGAGCCTCTGGCAGCGGGTCAGCCAGAGAGGACGAAGTGTTTTGCTTCTTTAGCCGCTGCCAGCGGGTCCCGAGAAGCTGGCAGCGGGTCTTCCAGATTTTGGGGCCTGTTTTGGTTATTTTTCAGTAGTTTGCTTTGTCTTGGCTCGTGTTTTGTATTTATTTATTATTTTTATTATTGTTTTATGTTATCTTAAGTATGGAAACATATATATAGTCTATTTTTATGAAGAGTTAGAAGAAGTAAATTAGTGAGAATTAAGTTAGAGAGAAGTAAAAGTTTTCTAGGGTTCTTGGCAAATTTCAGAAATCTTTGTTTTTGAATTAGAATCCATGGAAGCTTAATCTTCCGGATTCTTGGTTAAAGATTGAAGCTTTTGGCTACGAATTGTGAGATTTCTCTTCTCTTTATTATCTATTGAATGTTTATTATTCCTTTGAATTATTTCATGATTTGCTTTAATCAATTGCTAGGTTAGAATTGTTAGATTCGCTTGCATCTAATTAATCTTTCCAAAGTAGCAACTTTGGGTTATGAATGCATGCTTTTGATTGATAACTTAAAGAGGGAATAATATTATTGAAGAAATTAGACCGCTTGTGTTAATTTATTCAATCCGTGTTGATTTCTCCGTTTATGTTCTTCTTGTGGATGATTTAGAGCGCTTGTCTTAAATTATACATTAGAAAGGGTTAGAAAGGAGCGCTTTGCTATTTCTAACTAGCTTATGAGAATTTAGAATTTAGAATTCTACAACAAGGTGTTCAATAGTGTTTGATTGAAGAGGCTTCTATGATCAATTTGTATGTTCAATTGTGGATTTCGCATAACCAAGACCGTTATTCTCATTGATTGCATACTATTTATGTTCATTGTTCTGATTTAGTTTAATTGTCACCATTGCTTGTCAAAACCCCCTTGTTACTTAGATTACTACGTTCCTAGAGTAATTCCACTGAGGTTTGCAGTTATTAGTCCCTTTTTCCCTGTGGATTCGAACTCGACTCCCCTAACTACGTTTATTTGCAGTTAGCTTAGTTGTGATATTTTTGGTTGCATACGACTGAGGCACACCAGCCTAGCACACACATGGTGCACCTAGGCTTGCGATGAGCTAGCCTAGCCTAGCTATGTCTACGCTCAAACTTGTCGATTGTGATTTTGCGACGTTCAGTCTCGACGCCCTAGGCTCGATTTCCGACGTCTGTATTCGTAAAACGCTGTCGACTCATAAAATCCTTTCGGATTAATTCGCCGTCTCGGATCGGAGATTCGATTGGGTTCGACCCGAAGGGTTCAGTTAAGATTAAGCTGTAATATCAATTATACCTCGATATTACTGATCGGAAGCGGCCTCCACCTAGGCATTCCGATCACTTGACCTTACTGAAGAATTAGCTCTGTAATAATTCTGAACCCTCTATCGGAATAATACACTTGTTGGAAGGACACCATTCCTTTCAACTAGTATGGAACCCAAAAGGTATAGAAGTCCGCCTGTTTTTTGGCAAACAGAGGTACTCAACCACTCTTCCTACTAGGTTGACAATCGGCACCCTTTGAGTTATTAACCAAGCAAAACTTGGCGAATCAAGGGGGTCAGTCGGCCTAAGCCGCCTGATTCCTCTACTACTCAAACCAAAGTGACGGTGATTGACTAACCTCAAGGTTAACCAGTCGCTCTCCCTAGTACGGAACCTAAAAGGTACGAGAGGTTCACCTGTTTTTTGGCAAACAGGGGCTCTCGACCACTATTCCTACTAGATCTAAGTTACCGCTTGCAACCAACACAGGCGTAGCTACCTCGTTTAGGAGTCTCGTTCACAGGAACAGACGGCCTGTCCCCATTAAACTTGGAAAATCCATCAAGTCTTGTAAAACCATGCCGAAACATTTTGGCGCAATTTGAGTTAATAGCCAAGCAAAACTTGGCGAATAAAGGGGGTCAGCCGGCCTAAGCCGCCTGATTCTTCTACTACTCAAACTCGAGTGACGGAGACTGGGTAACCCCAAGGTTTACTCATAGTCACTCAACCAACCTAGTACAGAACCTAAAAGGTATGAGCAGTCCGCCTGTTTTTTGGCAAACAGAGGTACTCGACCACTACTAGGTTGGCTATACTTAAGCTGCCGCCTATAACCCAACAGCCTTGAATATTGTGAATGAGGGGTCTCCCCATGATCACGTTGTACACAGATGGGACATCTACGACCAAAAATTCGGCCATGATGTTCCGTGCTGCTCAGCCTTTGCCGATGGCGACATGAAGAAGAATCTTCCCATCAAGATATGATGAAGAGCCATTGAAT